GGGGGGGGGCACCCCCGGGCGGTCTGGGCTGGGTGCCGCAGACAGAGAGGCGTCATAGCCGTCATCATACGCGTCGCCATGCATCACGCAGAGACAGCGTGCCGACAAGGCACCTCCATCATCAAACGGTCGGCGTATATGACACCGGGGCAGAGCCAATACGACACGTTGTTTTGTTGTTGTTTTTTTATAGTTTTTTTTTCAGTTTTTTATTTCATTGTCGTTGGACACCACCGGCCCCGCGCCATGACAGACTGGGCGTAATGGCCTTCGGGTCATCATCAGTCACATTTCTATCGGTTGAAACGCGTTATTGATTGAGCAGGGGGAAGAAAAAACTCAGAGGCCTGAGAGAGCCGCATGGTCTTCCGCAGCAGCAGCAACAACAACAGCAAGTCAGAGGGCCACGGTCAGGCCTAACACGTGAGGCAGGACCAGCTAGGCCCTCCTCAAAGCTGCACCGTCTCCATTATGTATTTATTGCTCTATTCTCCTGCGTGGATTTCCACCCTGCCCGCCCCGCCCCGCTCCGCCCCGCCCGCCCCGTCGGACCTAAAGCATCCCGCCGACCGCGAGCTAAGACCCACTGGGACGGGCGCGAACGGGGCCTCTGGCCTCTGCGGGCATTGTCATCCCGGGCGCAGTGAGGAAAACCCCGGGGTTCGATCTAACTTCCCATCCTCACGTTGATTGAAACAATAAGGTGGCTGGTAGTCCCCATACGTAAAATTTCCTGTGCGGAACTAGATTGCTTTCAGCTCAAGCTCTTGAAGGGTTCGTGCGACGCGCGCTTAGCACTTTGGCGACGGCTCTTGGCGCACGGAGATGAGACACCGACCCCTCCGGCCGCACGCAGAGTGCTCCCGAGGCTCGGTGTCCTGCGGGCCGGGCCGGGCTGAGGCGCGCGTCGGGTTACCCTCCCGCTACCCGCTTTAACGAAAAGTGTGCCGTGATAATGTGTAATGCGAATGCGGGGGGCACGCGGCGTAATGTTTCTCGCCTTCCCTCGGCCTGAGCCGGGTGCGGGCGGGACACTCCGGAAGGGTTTTATTCCGAAGCCTCGCGTCCCTGCAGCGTGTTTTCCTCAAGTGCTCTGCTCGCCTAGCCGCGCCCGCTCCGCCCCGCCCCGCGCTGCGCACCCTTCGTTACCGCACTGATTCGCCCCACCCCGGCCCGCATCGCTCGGGCACACGACGCTCCCGCTCCCGCGCTCCGCCCGGCGGCCCCACCCCGCCACAACGTCCCTGGAGAAGCAATCGCTATTCCACGTTTACGAGACGTCTTCCCTTCCTGCGGCGGAGCAGGGGACGCCGGGCCCGGGGCCGGGGCTTGCCTCGCCCCCGACGGGAGCCCCATTAAAACCAGAGCCGGCTTGACTCGGGAGCGCGCTTTTCGGGGCGGGCTCGGCACTCCCGGCCGGGGTAGCGTAGCAGATACCCCCGCCCAGTTTGAAAGAAACGCCATTAAAAGAGTACATAAAATAGAGACGCGCGCAAGCGCAGAGACAACAAGCGCCGTGATTTAAGTCGATAATTGTTTTTGTGAGTCGTGTGGTTAGTGTTGCAGACTGGTGGTCATGATAGACAGCGTGACGGAGGAGGCGGTGAGCAAGGGGGCCCGATGGGGTGCTCCCCCGCGGGCGGCCTCCCCGCAGGGGGCGTCCCTGTGCACGCCGCGGCCGCGCAGCAACGGCTACCTGTGCGCCCAGCTGGCCCCACCCGCGCAGACACCGCCCGGCAAGAACGGCGCCGCGCCCAGGGCCAGCGACGAGGTAAGCGATCAGATAGGTTGTTGAGGAGCGAGGGGTGGACCACTTGGATATTCCATGTACACACTGAAAAATATTCCAAAAATATTCCGGCTATTCCGAAAATATTCCAGATATTCCAAAAGTACTTCAAATATTCCAAAAATATTTTTCAGATATTCCATGTGCACCAAAAATTTCAGTGGTCGACCCTGGGGAGCGATTCTACGAAAAGGACTTTTTTTTTTAAACTTGGACTGTGTTGTCTTGGGGCCACACAGGACGAGGCCGAGAGAGGGCTGCTGCTCCCGCCGGACCCCAGCAGCCTGGCGGCGCCGGGCTTCATCGCCAAGTCGGCCACCGAACTTAGCCCACAGCAGCTCCGGCTGCACGAGAACCCCCTGTGCGAGGCGGCGCCGGCCTCGCCGAGGAACTCGCCCAGGGCCTCGCCGACCCACACCATCGTGGAGGTCAGCAGACTGTGCGGCCACCCAGCCACCACTACCACCACCAAGGTATGGTCATCCTGAAACGCGCACAGGCGCGTGGGCGAGCATGTTACTGGCCAAAAGACCGCCCAGAAAGTACGTTAGTTCTTTTCAGATTCAGTAAATAACAGGAGCTCGACGCCTGCGAGACTCGAGGTAGGCCACTCTGCAGTACACGCATGCACTGCAGGCAAGATGTTGCCTACCTATCAGGCGCTATGCGAGCTTGTCTTGTCTTGGCAGGTTCGTACGTAACGGCGAACGTACTTTCTGGATGGTATCTTACGGACAGGCAACCCGCCCGCACACAGTACAGTGGTGTGGTGCCCTAAAGAGGAGGTGCCCGTCAATGTCCATCGCTCCTCTCTCGGTGACCCCTCCCCTCGTCCTCGTGTTGCAGCGGAAGAGCGGGCGGCCGCGGGAGGTGGGCCCCGTGGGGCTGGTGCTGCGGCTGGGCGCCGGCCTGAGCGGCGTCAACAGGTTCGCCCTGGCGGCCGGCGCCGTCATCCTGCTCGGCGCCCTCGCCCTGCTCGTCATGTGCGCCGCCAGCTACTCGTGCGCGCCAGGTGAGTCCGCGGAACCACCCGAGAAGACGCCTCCTCGACGACGCCGTTAGCAATATGGACGCCCTGCTGCTGCTGCTGCTTCGTTAGTGTCGCGGCGGCGGGCCGTGCGGTGTTCGGCCGACAAACTCGCCCGGATTTGCGAAGGACTTCCATTTGCACGCTGATTAGTTAGCCATTCAGGACCGTCGCGCGCCGTGCCCGCCGTTTGCCCGCCTTGTTTGTGGCGGGGGATGGGAGGGAAGGGATGAGGCGGGGAGGAGAGGGTGAGGGAGGGAAGGAGCGAGGCGGGGAGGAGAGGGTGAGGGAGGCAGAGCGGTGGGGGAAAGGTCGCGAGCAAGCAGTGCAGGCTCTGGACTCTGCATGACAGGTAATTGCATGGCCCATGAAAAGCCATTCAACTCCTTCGCAGCAGCCCTGTTACACTCTAAATATGACCAGAGACATTTTTTTAAATTTTGGTTCGTTTTCAAGACTGATATGTGAGCTGAGCGCATCTCGCAAGAAGCGTTTTATTTCAATCTTTATGCTGGACAAAATTTTAAAAAGCGTCCAGCAGAAAATAAAAATTAACTAGTTTACCGGTTTAGTTTACAGATGAGTTTTGCAAGTCGACAAAAATGTCCCCGTTACTTTACAAACAGATTTAAACCCAAGCCGAATTCCAGAAAATCTTGATCTTCAATCAAGTAATTAATCGTGGAAAAAGTGCACACGCTTATTGAAAATTCTGTGCCGTACTCGATTCCGGAACTGGCTTTTCTGAGTGCGCATAACTGGACCTACTCCGGCGCGGTTCACCCTTTGGCCTTAACCGCGCCGACATTTTCTAAATGGCTCCATAACACTCGACAACGTGCAACAGAGAGTAGGGGGAGTGTGTTTGGGGCATGTGTGGGTAACTACACCATGTCCAGGATTGACGACATGCTACGCAGCCTTTTCAGCGTTTGTCGAGCAGATAAAGAGTTATTGTCTGGCTGCTGCTTGCCCGGTTATGACAGTGTGGTGGCCGCAGACTCCATGGCGCCCATAGTCCACGCAGGAGGGGCAGCGGAGAGCTCATGGCTGAAAGTTTAAGCGCGCTCTGACTTATGGATGGTGGTGGATTCGGTCCGTGACTTCTTGCGGCTTCGACGCGAACAAAGCAGTAGAGTGGAGAGGGCGTTGGGGTTGGGGAGGAAAGAGCGCGAAGCCTGAAGGGGGAACCCTCTGTGCTCACACCTACAGTGCAAGACAAAGTGAAGGAGAGCGTAAGGGTGTGGAGTGAGGGTGGGA